TGGAGCAGGCCGGGCGAGGCCGCGGGCGCAGGTCCCGGGGCGCACGGCTCACGCGGGAGGTCGTGGCCCACTCCCAGGCCCTCCCGGCCCGGCCGCTGGGCTCCAGCTCCCCCACCCCCACCTCGGGGACCGTCCGTGGGGGTGCGCTGGACCTGCTCGCGTGGTGCGGGTCGGCGAGGACCCTGGTGGCCCTTCTCGGTTGGCGGAGCTGGGAGAGTTGTAGCGACGAGTCCCAGAGCAAAGCGCTTACAGGCCGGTCAAGTCCGTCAAAATGATCGGAACAATAGAGTTCGGGGGAGCTGGAGGCGCCTCCCTTCTGTCGTGTGTTCGATTTTAAGATTTTTAAGACCTGGAATGCAAGTTCCTATGATTTAGGGCATCCGAAACGGTGTTTGGTTGGACTTTAGTAAGTTGCCAAAGTTTTCCTATGCACCGAAAAGAAAAGCCTGTTCTTCTCCGAGTTACATAATGGAGGATTAAAGAAAACAGTGTCCGCGGGCTTAAAATAAACGGTGTCCTCGGAGCGAGCGGCCAGTCCCTGCGGGTGTGAGCTGGGGGAGGGGGCGGCGAATTTCATTCTCCACGGGGACACTGGCGGGTCTGTCAGGCGACATGATCCATTTTCCTTGGTCTGATGGAAGGTCGCGGCTTAAACTTGGGCAGTGGCGCGGGGCGCGGGAGCTCGGCGAGCGGGCCCCTTCCTGGGCGCTGCCCAGAGGTCGGTGCCCAGTGTGGGCACGCAGGCCTTCCTGCTCCACGAATAATCGGCCAGCCGTGTCCGCCAAGCTCATAGGGGTTTGCTCTGTAACTTTTCCTCTAGTTTGAAAAAAAGGAGGGAGGGGAGAAAAGAAAAGAAATGCCTCTGTCTCTGAAAGCCGTCCCGGCCTGGCCGCCTTTGCAGGGCGCTCGCCATCGCCAGCGGTCAGTGTCCATTTTGTTGAAGCGGCCAGGAGGCCGGGGAAGCGAGGAGAGATTCCCTAAGTGTCCTTTCGGACAAGAATTCCGAGCAGAGAAAGAAACCGGGGAAGGTCTCTGTCTGCAATCACTGGCGAAATCGTTTAGGAAATGGCCAAGTCCATTTGGGAGCGATGAGGAGACACAAACGAAATCTGGCTTCCGAAACTGTGCCCCGTGGCCTTGGCCACCACGCTCACTTAGTCAAGGGAGACCTGCCCCTCTGTACAACTTTCTGGAGTCTGGAGTCTTTCTTGCTACTGTAACTACTCAGACTTGGCTGGGAGAGCAGGCTGTGTTAGGGGTTATTTTGTTGTTGTTGTTACTGTTATTTTGGTTTCGCCCAAGCAATTCTGAATATCAAGTGCCCTGCCTGCTTGGGACAGAGGCCCCTGTGTGGCCATGGTGTGTGTGCGCGTGTACGCGCGCTCGAGCGCCGTGTGGGTCAGAATCCTCTCTCAATGTGCCCAGTGCAGGAGATCCAAGATGTGTTTTTAATGAGGGGCCCTCAGATCGAACTCCTCTCCAAGTGTATTTGTCGCCTCAGTTCCTGCCCTTGCTTGGGGCCGAAACTGCAGCCCCAAAGCTAGGCCCACTGTCCAAGATTTTACAATTAGGTGTTTAGGAGGCAAAGGGGAAGGACCGTCAGCGAAGAAGGTCCAGCCAATTTATGGTAATAATGAGGCCCTAATGAGGTTGTTAGAAAGATAAAATGTTATTTACCAAAACACCTGATGGGATAATTTGACTGGTTGTGTTTTACTACTGATGATAAAAAGAATATTGATTGCGAATAAATCACTGGCCACTAAATGCCTGCAAACAGTTCGTGTTTGCTCGCCTCAGATCAAAGGTAAACTTCGGAGATAAAGTGGGCCGCGCCAGGCCGAGGAAGCGGAACCACTTCCACTCCCCTCGGCCGAGCTCGCGTCAGGCCTGGTGTTAATATTTTACCGGATAAGTCCTTCCTTTTGTATTTAAGAAAACAAATGGTGGTTTTGTTATCTTTGTGGAGGAGAGCCTGGATTAAAATTTAAAATTACCTGTCACCACTGTAGGCCCTTAAGTGTGGGCGAGGCATTGTGTGCAGATTCATTTAGGAGGGGAAAGGAGGGTGCTTTCGTTTTAAATTAAGGGCAGCTTTACAGCGGTGGACCTTCCAGCCAGTTTCTTTGGCGTGACCCCCTCAGGGTCGAAGGGAGGGGGCGGGGGGGGGCTGTAGGGTTTTTGCGTTGGGTTTATCCCTCCAGTCAAAAGGCGAGAAGGAAGATAAACTTGGTGACCCGGGTTTCTCCAGCTCTGGGGGCGGGAGAGGGGCTGCAGGCGTTCAGCACAATTTTGGGAGCGGGGGACTTCGGCTTTCTGCTTGGTTCTTGATAAAGTGAAGCGCAGGCTTGCTTGCTGGAACTTTTCCTGTGCGGTGAAAAACCTTCTCCGCCATGGAGTCCAATGGTGGTTTTGTTCCCTCTCCTCCCCAGGAATGGACTGGGCCTCTGGGAAGTAGCCGCAGGCCCAGCAAGGGAATGCGGGGGAGGGAGCGGCTGCCCCTCACCTTTCCATCTTAGGGGACTCATCTCTCTTTCTCTCCCTCCTTCTCTCCTCCTTCACTTGGTCGGTGGCTTTAGGGTTCACAGTATGAACTCAAGGACAATCCCGGGGTGCATCCTGCCACATTCGCGGCACACACAGCACCTGCCTATTACCCCTACGGCCAGTTCCAGTATGGGGACCCAGGGCGGCCCAAGAACGCCACGCGCGAGAGCACCAGCACGCTCAAGGCCTGGCTCAACGAGCACCGTAAGAACCCTTACCCCACCAAGGGCGAGAAGATCATGCTGGCCATCATCACCAAGATGACCCTCACGCAGGTCTCCACCTGGTTCGCCAACGCGCGCCGGCGCCTCAAGAAGGAGAACAAGGTGACTTGGGGCGCGCGCAGCAAAGACCAGGAAGACGGCGCCCTCTTTGGCAGCGACACTGAGGGAGACCCCGAGAAGGTCGAAGACGATGAAGAGATCGATCTGGAGAGCATAGACATCGACAAGATAGATGAGCATGATGGGGACCAGAGCAACGAGGAGGACGAGGACAAGGCCGAGGCGCCGCGTGCTCCCGCCGCGTCAGCCCCACTCGCCCGGGACCAGGGCTCACCGCTGGCCACCGACGCTCTCAAGCCTCAAGACTCGCCCCTGGGCCTGGCCAAGGAGACCCCTGAGCCTGGCAGCACGCACCTGCTGAGCCCTGGGGCCCGGGCTGGCGGCCTGCAGGGCGTGCCTCACAGTAAGCCCAAGATCTGGTCTCTGGCAGAGACAGCCACCAGCCCCGACGGTGCGCCCAAGGGCTCACCGCCGCCGCCTGCGGGTCAAGCAGGCGCTCCGGGGGCACCGGCGGGGGCGCCGCTGCAGCACCCCGCCTTCCTGCCCAGCCATGGACTGTACACCTGCCACATCGGCAAGTTCTCCAACTGGACCAGCGGCGCCTTCCTGGCCCAGGGCTCTCTGCTCAACATGCGTTCGTTACTGGGCGTCGGCACGCCCCACGCCGCGCCCCACGCGCCGCACCTGCCTGCACCCCCTCAGCCGCAGCCGCCCATCACCTTGGCCATGGGGTCGCTGCACAGCGACAAGGCCTCGACCAGGAGCAGTCCCGCTCTCCCAGGTACAGTAACCAACCATGATTCGCTCAGCAGAGAAACGCAGGGGGTCCCGGGAAATGTCCAGGCTGGGGACTGGGGGTGGGCATCTCTAAGCAGCAGGCCTGTTTGTATTTGCAGAGCGAGGCGGGCCTGTGGTGGGTGGGTGGGAGCCTCATTGCGATGGCCTTCCTTGAATGAATGGCATGAGGGGAGGAATGGGAAGGAGGTCCCTGAGGCACCTGTCCCTGATCCTAATGCTTTGCTCTTCCGCTCCCTGGCAGAGAGAGATCTAGTCCCCAGGCCAGACTCTCCCGCACAGCAGTTAAAGTCGCCCTTCCAGCCAGTGAGAGACAAGTGAGTGCACTTTGCTTTTACCCAGGGGCGGGGGGCTTTGGTCGAGAGAGGAAGGGACCCCACGGCAGAGGTGGGGTTTGCACACCTGAGGCGCCAAGCACCGGCCCAGCGGCGGCAGCTAAGTTGGTGTAGGTGGGGTTTCTCCTGACCCGGGAGCTGCGCCGGGAGGCCACCCTGCCCGGGGCGCGCTGCTGGCGTTTTGCGCTCCGCTGGGTCGCCGAGCGCGCATTCACTCACAAGGCTCCCTATCTTCTCTCCCTGTTTCCCCTGCAGCTCGCTGGCCCCGCAGGAGGGGACGCCGCGGATCCTAACAGCCCTCCCTTCCGCCTGATTAAGGGTCTTCTTTTAACTTTTGCGGGGGGAGGGGGGTGCCAGGGAGGGAGGGGATGAGGGAGGAATTAAGACAAATATTACAGACTGGCGTAAAGGACACTTCTGGCCACGACTTCAAACACTCCCATCCATCGCTTTCTGCAGAAAGTGGCTCTTCCCCGCCGAGCTCGAGCCTCGCGACTGGACCTTTCAGCTCGGGTCCCGCTCTCCTTTGCCAGGATGAGTCTCCGTGCGGTAACAGCCCCCACGTGTTCGTGTCTGTTTCTTTCCCCCTTTCTTTCTGTATATAGAGTGATTTCAGATTGTAAATAGCGCGTCAGCGAACTTGTCTAAATCATATATTTTGTCTAATAAACTAAATGAAATGATTCCCACTGCCTTCGCTGCTGTGTGTGGCTAGCTCTGGGGTGGAGTTGGGGCCCCAAGAGTTCGGGATTTGTGGCCAGGCACCTCTTTGCGGGGCCAGCGTCCGCGGGGGAGATCAGCTCCCCTGGGGAAGGCGTGGAGAGAGGTCTCCACCCAGGAAGCCCGAGTTGGAAACATTCTTTTTGGTGTTAGTGCTGGTTGCTGCGGTTGAATTAACATTGCCACGAAGGCAGTTTTCAGCCCGCGGTTCAACGCTGTCCGCACTCAGGGCGTGAATGAGTTCGATTTGAGACAGTTGATAGAATTATTCTCTAAGTAGAAGAAGAAAAAAATAACAAGAATTTCCAGTCCACCCCCAAAAGAGATAACTTCTAATTTGAAATCAGTTTAGAACTCCGGACTCACCCGGGGCACCTTGGCGCTGGAGCGTTTTGTGGGTGAAAGGAGGGAATAATGGAGTATGAAATTATGCTTAGAATTTTTTTTTTAATTTAGTTAAATCAAACGTGGAGATATTGGAAGGCTCTGTTAAACTCCCGTAGTGGACAGTCAGTGACGCGGTGCAAGAAGGGATCTCTGAATTTGTGGACAGGCAACCTAAGCGGACTGCAGCCTGGGACAAGGAGAGGAGAGGGTTGGAGATCTTCCGCCCCCTCCCAAACCCTCGTGCTGTGTGTCGCATTCTCTATGCCTGGGCTGCACGCCCCAAGTGGGTTCAGGAGCAAATAAACCCCGAGATGATGGAGGTCAGGGCCGCAGTGAAGGCGGCAGCTGTGCGCAAGTTTAAGTGACAATGCGCGCGGCCAGGCAGCTTAGGAAAACTACGGAGGCGGGAAGGATCTGGCGGGGCTCTAAATCTGGACCGTCGTTGTGCCTTTGGGGTGAGGCTCTATGACTGTAAACGATTTTGAGCGGAAGTGTGCAAAGGAAAAACGCAAACCTTTCCAAATCGGGCATTGAAACTACCGTGGGGATCGTGGGGAGAAGGCCTGATCTGCTCAAGGGAAAAAAGTGTCCACGATTGTTTTTTAGAAGCTTTCCAGAGCCTCCCTCCAGGGCTAGATGTCGCACTCCCTTCCACCCTCCAGGGCTGCCCTTGGGCCCCGAGGCTCAGCTTGGGGAGGGAGAAGTGGGTCCCAACTGTAAATTCCCTAAGGCATTTCTTGGCCAGAAAGAAAGAGGCTAGTGTGGGTTACTTGAAGCTGCGAACCCAAGAGTCTCTTCCCCAGGACCCACCTCTCCCTTTTCCCAGGGCACCCCCTCCCTACTCTCCAGTCTGATTAGAGAGCAGGGTCGAAGGAAAACGCCAAAAGGGCTTCTGGGAGGGCGTAGCGGACCGGGAGGGCCGGGCGCGCCCAGGAGCTCGCACCGCTGCGCGGAGCGGGGACTGCGGGCATCGATGTCTCCAAGCCGCGCGCTGCGCGTCGAATTGGGCGGGCTTGCGGCGCCCTCTATGGGCAGAACGCGGAACTGAGGCCCCGAAGGCGCCCTGCTCGCTCTGGGGGTGTGTGACTTTATCGTGGGGGTGCTGCGTCTTGGAGGTAGCCCTGGGCAGGAGCCTGTGTTTGTGGAGGTGAGGTCTGCCTAGAGCCCCAGGAGCCCACTCCTCTGTGCGCATTTGTTGGGTGTGAGGAGATTGTGCAGAGTGGGCATTTGGGAGCTGAGGCCTTGCTTCAAACTAAACCCTACTGCCTTGGAGCGGTGGCAAGATCCAAGGTACTTGTGGAAGGAGACCGCCCTGTGTTCTCCAGGATCCCTGGTGCATCTGAACAGCCAATCCTTCCATTAGCAAGTATTACCCTGATCCAGCAGGGCTCTTTGGCTTCACAGAGGGAGGAGGTGCATTTTCAGAGTAGAGCTGTCCCCAGGGATCTGTCCTGGATATCAGATTTTCTGGAATCACCATAGCCCTGGGGTCACTCATGCAACCCCGACTGCACAGGGGGTGAGGTGCGCCTGGACAGCCCCTCCTGCCCACCCCGTGATGGTGGCGCCTGGTGGGTATCTGGGATGCTCAGGTGCTGTTCTGACCATCACCAGCAGCAGCAGGCGGGATTGGCCTGTACAGCCAGCACAATGCTCATCTGTGGGGGCTCAAGGTCCCAGAACTTATTGTGTGGTCTTCTTCTTTGGGAATCAAAGCTTGGCGCCATGAAGGAACTAGATCACCAGCCTCAGGATTGGATTTGCCCAGTGAAATTCTGGAAAAGAATTTTTAAGTCCAATGCTGAAGAGCATCTTTTGTGTGTGTGTGTTAGTTTGTTTCTTTGTTTTTGTGAGATGTTAATGAAACTTCTTCGGGCCTCTGAACGCCTGGCTACCAGCTTCAGGGTCTGGTTCCTGACCACATCAGATGTTGTGCATGGCAAAAAAAAAAAACAAAAAACCAAAAAAAAAAACCCAAACAAAACAACCCCAACCTTTGCTCCCAGGCCAAGTCCATCCAAACTTCTAGAACTCCCTGTTTTTTGCAAAGGTGTATGCCTCTCTGTCCCATCCAAAGAGAGCAGTTCAGCGAGGAGCAAAGAAGAGGTAAAATTTTAAAGTGAAGGGACTGAGAGAGTGTTTGCAATGTGAGGCACCTCTTCCCTCTGTTCAAGCAGAGACATCTATGTCCTTGTTCATCTTCTCTGTGTCCCTATAGATGACATAGCTTCCATAGATGCTTAATCTCAGGTTTGAGGAAGGAAAAACAAAACAAAAAAACTGAAGCGCCAGGTCAGGGAACTGCCTTCTGTCTGTCCCGTCCCTGGTCAGCCCTGGTGTGACAGATCTCTCCAGCACCCTGGCTTGAAGCCTTGGGACCCTGCCCCAGTGGTTGACCTGCTGGAGACTCTGAAATCTCCCTGCTCCTGCTGTCCTTTCCTCTCTTCCTCCCTCCCTCCCTCCTCTGATCAATTATTTCCTAGCACATTTATCTCGCCCGCAATATGGAGAATTCATATTCATATCTCGGTTTTAGTGGTCTGACACTGATTAATGTAATACGCGCCTTGGCTCCGAGGGGCCGCCACCCGATGAATCATGCCCTATAAAGTTTCAGTCGTCCTTGTAGATGAGACTTTGCCAGAGAGAGAGCCGGCTGGAGAAGGCGGGAGGAGAGACAGGAGGGGCACCCAGGGGTGCCCTTGGACAGGTGCTGATCCTAGGACCCTGTGTGGACGGTCTGACCTTTGTCCATGTCCTCTCTGGCCTCCTTTTTCCTCTTGTGGGAGGTCAAGGAAGCCCAGGCTCCTGCCCGCTGGGGAAGCATCTGGGTTTGGACTGTGGCTGCCACATTGGTGGGAGCTGTGTTCTGGACATAGAATCCTGGAAATTAGAGCCCAGACCTCTCTCAGGAGCCTTGAGGCCTTCAGAGAGACATGGCTCTGCTCTTTGGGGCACCGACACAGGTAGGAAGGACAGAAAGGGAAACAGAGGCTGGAGGCAAGCCTCTGAGTGACTTCTTCATGGGGGAGTGGGCCCAAATGGAAGCCTCTATTTCCTTTCTGGCTCTCCATCTCAGGAGAAGAGCCCTCCATGGTGCTGCCAGCTGGCCTGGGCTGGTCTGTCATAGGGATGTGGATCCAGCAGAAGCACGGGGTGAGTTTAGAGACAGTCAGTCCAAGGAGTCTTTAGTTCAAGGAGGAGTGAGTGGATCAAGCAGCACGAGGGAGCGAGTGCCCACCCTGAGAGCAGAGTCTCAGCCCAGCCTCCAAGACCTCATGCCCGAAGTTTTTGACAGTGGATTTAAGGGACATCAAATACGTGGAAGGAGGGAGTATCTTACAATCTCCCCTCCTCATGGACAGGTCCTCCAAGGGAAATGCTTCCTGGGCTCTGGTGGACTACCATCGGTCTTTGAATGAAAAGACTCTTAAAATGACACCACAAAGGACACTCCTTTGGCCTGCATGTGCTCATTTAGGTGGAAGACAAAGGATCTTGTCCAGTGCACCAGAAGCTGTCATGTGTGTGTGTGTGTGTGTGTGTGTGTGTGTGTGTGTGTGTGCAGTGCCTGGGGCCTGCACGCTTATGCTCTCTCTCCTGGACCAATCCATAGGAACACTACCCCTAAACATGGGGCCTAAAAACTTACAACTCCCTGCACAGATCAAGGGGCTTGAAACCCTGAGGACTTTCTGAGATGCTCAAAAGTGTTGTCATTTTATGTATTTTTAATGTTAAGTTGGAGAATGCTCTTCGATACATTGCATCAATATACTGATCTTTATGTCAATGAAAGGGTAACATGATTTCAAGGTCTGTTCTCCATGGAGGAAGACGTTGACACAGCAGGGGTTCCTGGGTGTGATCTTGATCAGAAGAATCCCTGCTTTGTCCCCGGAGAATTATCACTAAGTGAGCATGTGAGGATGCCCCAATTTCCTCAGGCCCCTGGCAGTCAGGTGGCTTGCTGGTCCAGGAGAAGGCTCTCTAGTCTCCCGTCTGGAAGACACAGGAGCTGCACCCATGCAATTTCCGGAAGCCATGGTTCCCATCCTGCCCTGCTACCTGCAAGACAGAGCAGGACTGTCCTCTCTTGGCACAGAAGGCGTCTCTAACCGGCCATGAGCAGAGGCCAAGCAGCTATAGCCCCCACCCCTCTTCTTTGGGAGTGGCAGCTTTTTCTCAGCCCTGCTGTTGGGCTTT